AACTCAGAAATCCGCCTGCCTCTGCCTCCCAAGTGCTGGGATTAAAGGCGTGCGCCACCACCACCCGGCTCAGTCCGTTATCATCAAGGTGGGAGCATGGCAGCATCCAGGCAGGCATGGTGCAGGAGGAGCTGAGAGTTCTACATCTTCATCTGAAGGCTGCTAGTGGAAGACTGACTTCCAGGCAGCTAGGATGAGGGTCTTAAAGCCCATGCCCACAGTGACACAGTTACTGCAATAGGGCCACACCTTCTAATAGTGCTGGGCTGAGCGTATACAAACCATCACACTGTTCTTGCAGACAAGCTGGATTTGGGTTCCAGCACCCACAGTGACTCCGAATCATTGGTAACTCCAGTTCTAGGAGATCTGTGGGCACCAGGCAGTCCTGTGGTGCCCCCTTTCCACATGAAGCCGGCAAAACACTCATGAACAGAGAATAAAATAAATCTGCCTCCCACACCACTGTTCCATGTCCCTTGCACTGGTACTGAAGGGACAGCTGAGGGGCTGGCACTTCTTCAACTCTGTATCTAGATGGCCACGCAGGGCCACCACTGACCCCTTGCCAAGTGGGCAGTGTCACAAGTAGAGCTGGGTCATTGCAAAGCTTCTTCTAGTGTCTTTTAGGCATTGAGCCCATGATGATGTCTTGAGCAACAGGGAGAAGCCAACCAGAGCCATGTCCCCTCTGTGCCTGTTTGGGCCCATCTCCTCTCCGACCACATAAGCCTTTTAGCTTTCTTACTCAGAGCCCATGCTCTGGCATGAACCTGGGGAACCTTTCTTACTCTTTGCCTACGTGAGCCTTCCAGTATTGGCTCCTTCTTTTCTAGATGCTGACTGGTAACCCACCTCACATGTTTACAAGGTGACACTGGTTGTTCTGAAGGTGACCTAATGCTCTGGAAAGCATGCAAATGATTCTCTCTTTAACAGAGGCCATACCTTTGTCTTGGGGTTCGAGTCAGAAGGGGCCTCGCCTTAAGGATCCATGACCTAATTGGCAGGATCCAAGGGGAAAAGTATTGAGCTCTGGCTTGTGTGAGCGACTGTGTCCTCTCCCCACACAGAGAGAAGGGGTTCAAGGTCCAGTGGGTTGATGACACTCATGCTATCGGCATCTTTTCCTGCCCTGCCGCAGGTAAGGAGGCTTCCTGTTGGGCTCTGCTCCTTCTCTGGCCTCCATTGAAGGCAGAGGTGCCTGGGTTGCCCAGGCAGAGGGCCAGCCATGTCCAGACGTAGGCTACCTCGAGCCCATGGGCTTGGCTCTCAGCTGAAACACAGTCTGGGTGCTGGGGGCTGTGGCTTGGGAAGCTCAGGAAGCCTTTGGCCTTTTCTCTGTAACAGCGCCTTCAGTGGAGAGGTGTTAGCATCAGTGACATTTACTGATCAGGTGGCATAGGCCAAGCCATAGTTCCATCTTCGAACTGACGCTGGTGCAAGCATCTGGTGCTGCTGCTCAGGGCCACGGGTGTTTTCAGTTCAGCCTCGTATGTGGGGCCATCACCCCCTCTCAGACAGAAGGCCGAGGTTCCCAGATTGCTGGGGTCTGTGTTGGATTACAGATGTCTCACTGTGGAAGCTGAGTACCATGCAACCTCCTCACTGTGACTCTAGTCCTCCTCGTCCCCTCCAGCCACTATCCCACACTTGTCCCTGCCATTCCACTGTCACTGTGGAAATACTTATCAATAAGACCCTCCCATCCTGAACCACATGTGCACATCAGAGCCTTCTGGGCATCAGAGCTGGCAGTGGCCTACTTGGGTTTGGCCTGGTCCTCAAGAAAGCCAGAAGTTGGAGGTGGGGAGGAACAGAGGGAGTAGGGTAAGGAGGGAGTGTCTGGAAGGGAAATTAGGGTAAAAAGGCTAAATGACTACTGAGGATCATGGGAAGATAAGCTGTGGCCAGGGTAGCATTGGCTGCCTCCTGGGCCTGCCAGGAACAGTATAGCAAGAGCGAGTCATGCCCTGGCCTCCTTGTCCCTATTACATATCTGCTAGGCCCTGATGTCAGGAGCACTTTGGCCCAATATGAGTGGTCCAGGGAGTACTGGTGTTTCCTGAGGCTCCTCGGGGTTACAAGGAGAGTCTGGTTTAAGCTCTGGCTTTCGCAGGCTGAGCCTGCCCCTCCTGCTCTGAGAACCTGCATATGGGGCTAGGGTATCATCTGACAGTGCAGGCAGCAGTATCCCTCCCACCCCATACCGTTCTGTAGGGATCAGGAGCAGGAGGAGAGACTCTCAGCTTTACTGAGCTAGATCAGAGGCAGAGCAGCTGGGAGCGGGTGTGTAAGAGTGACTGTGGAAGTTTGGGGTGATGCATGTGCTCCAGACCCCTGGGAGTTTCACCTTACACAAGAGTCACCCCAGCTCTCGCCTCCTTTCTCCAGCTCTTGAGGCACTGGCCAAGGATTTCTCCGTGCTCAAGATCCGGCCGCTCACACAGGGAACCAAGCAGTCCAAGCTGAAAGCCTTGCAGAGGCCAAGTAAGGCGAAGTCTGTCCCTCTGCAGGGAGGCTGCCTGTGCTTATGTTTGGTTTGATTCCCTTCATCTGTCTGCTCTTCGAGAGCCTAGGCTACAGCGGCTAGTGGGGCTTGGCTTCCCCTCAGCCTGGAGAGGGCCCAGGGTCAGCTACCTCTATATTTGCCCTCCAGCTCACACCTTCTTCTGGTCATTGATCTAAGAAAAGCCCAGCCTTCCTTCTGGAGGGCCATGGAGACTACTCTGTAAGGGTCAAAAGTGCTTGTGCCTAGGTCAGCCCGAGATGGGACCTTGGTTCTGTTGCTGACCTGTTTGACCTCGAGTGAGTCACTTGTACAGGAGCTAGATGCCAAATGTTAGCCCCTTCCCTTTCCTCTTCCAGAAAGCACGCTTCGGGCTCTGAGAGGTCAGTTTTTATGATAGCAAAGATGGAACCCGCAGAATGGGCCCAGAGAAGGCCTGCCGGAGCCATCCATGCCACTGCAACTGGTGACATGGCCGTGTCCTAGACATTTTAGAAACGAGAAATATCCCATCTTGATGTCCAATGATCCAGGTGTCCTATCCCGAGTGGTTCCTCTCAAAGGGTCTTGAGGAGCACCTGATCCCTACATCACAGATAAGCCAGGATGACAGGAGGGATTGGTTTGTGTCAGGTCCCACAGGGAAGCAGAAATGTAGGCCTTGAGTCCTCCTGGGTCCCTCTCTCAAGCACCTGGCTGCCATGGGCACAAGTAGGCCCCAGCCTCTGCAGCCATACCATTACACACAGGCTCACCCTAGCCTTGAATCCACGTCTTACCCGCTGGCTCTTCCTTTCAGAGTTCCTGCGACTAGCAAAGGAGAGGCCACAGACGGATTCGGCGGTGGCCCGCAGGCTGGTGGCCCGGGCCTTGGGACTCCAACACAACAGAAAGAAGGAGTTGCCTACTTCCCCAAGTCTCCTGCCATCTTGAGGCCCTGGGCCCATCTGTCCAGACTAGGCTGGGTCCCAACACCACATGCCTTTACAGATACCAGGACAGCCCCTTGCCCTCACTGGAGCTGCTATGGGGCACGGCAGGCTTTAGTTGGTCTACTCCCAGAAATTGAGAAGAAATAAAAATTTAAAGTTGGTGTATTGATTGCTTCCAAGTGTGGTCTTGAGGGACACTAGGGGGTGCTGTCCCATCTCTTACTGTGGGTCTGTGGTTATTGAACCTGGAGAATCCCATCTTAACTTCAGGGTCATTTATGCACAAGTGGCCCTGTTTGGGGAGTAGGTGCTACTTGCCCAGTCTCCCCCATTACAGGAACACCATCCTGCCATCCTGTGCTGTGTGGAAATGGGGGATGTGGTAGTGCTTGGGTATTATTTAAGGAAGCCTTGAAAAGCAAGTGTGAATGAAGCTGGGAGGTGATACTTGAGTGCCTGCTGAGCGTAGAACAGGACAGTGCTGGCCTTACTTAAGTCTTGAGTGTAGTACTGGAGGCACCGTGGTCCACTCTGGTATTTGGAGGTCATTGTTCATCTCAGGTTTGCTGGGGCCAGCACACTCAACACAGGAGACCGCAGGGAGTGCTGGAGCCCTGTTCTGCTAATGCGCACCCTCTTAGGGAAGCTGCCCTGTGACTAGCTGTCTTGCCTGGTTCTGACACACTTAGGTTCTTACCCAGGTTTCAGTACAGAACAACTGTTGAAGAAGGGCCCCAGCTCACCTCTGCTGCTGTTCAGGTCTCTCAGATTGCTTCTCTGTGCTGCAGCTTGTACTGGTACAGCCCTTTAGGGTATAGGGAACTATGGAAGACACTGGGACCATTCCTGTGTCAAACTAAATATGTACTATACTTGTAGATGTAGGAAGCTCTGGGCCCAGGGGCAGGAGTCCAAATGGAACTTGGGAATGTATGGGGGACATTTTGCTCTACATACAAGTTTGTGCAGTAAAGTGGATTTATGAGCGTAACCTAGGACCCAGTTGATAGCCCTGCTGAGTACATAACTTATGGTTGACATTGTCTCTCCCCAGAACCATGGAAGCCGGCTGACAGTGGACTGAACCATGAGCCCAAAAGAACACTTCTTGTACACTGTCTCTCTAGGATGTCTTGTCACAACAAAATACTTGCACACTATTACATAGGTATCGACAAAAGCAGTATTATTCATTAGAGTTCTGGGATGGCTAACTTGTCATCAACTTGACTGGATTTAGAATCTGGGGGGAGACACACTTCCCACTGAGGAGGGAAGACCCACCCTGAATGTGGGGAGCACCATCCTACTGTTTGGGGTCCTAGACTGAATGGAAGGGGAGAGTCACATGGATGTTGACTTTTTCTTTCCCTGATTTGAGGAAGCTGCTCCCTGCTCCTTTTGCCATGGCTCCAAACTGCCTTCAAACCATGTGCCTAAATCCTTTCTCCCCGAAGTTTCTCCTGTTGGATATGTGGTTGCAGCAACAAGAAGGGTAACATCAGCTGGGCCTGTTACTAGCTCTTTGCTGCAAAGAAGAAATTCAAGATAAGCCAGAATAAAGCAGAGAGTTAAACGTTTATTTCAAATATTTTAAATATAAATTTAAGTTACAGGGGTTAAGAGTTGCTCAGGGAAGGAGTAAGGCACATCCAAGAGCTGGGGTGTGGGCTTCTCAAAGGACAAGAGTTCTTAAGTGTCTTAATAACTAGCTATACACAGGAATCCAAGAAGCCTTTGGTATTGCTTGATTGGTTTCTAAGTCACACCCCTAATCTCTTCCCTTTTTGACAATAAGATTATAAGGTGGCTCCAGAGGTACCTTGGATAGGACTGTGCCCTGATAAGATGAAATCATGGGTCATAAGGGTAGCATAGGGGTCTTGAGATATGCCTTTTACTGTAAATTGGGTTTCTGGCAAAGTTGTAGGAAATTGTATGTTTACCGCTAGGAAAAGAAAAAGGCCATTTACACTTTGGCCTTAAGCATAATTCCTTGCTATATTTTAACATTCTTACTTGAAATATCTATACTTGTATATAAATATACAAAATGAATATTGTCCCTATATTAGCACCATTCACAATGTTATCTGTGTTGGGATTCTCAGCTGGCAAAAGCTTCAACCAGACTCTGAGGTGAAGAAGGGCCCCTTCCATGTTCCCCCATGGTTTTCTCTTCCTATCCTGTGTCAGAACCATCCAAGTCTTCAGGCATCCCTTGGAACCTGGGGATGTATGCCTTGCTGTTGTACTTTACGTTGAGGCTATAACTGCATAGAATACAGACGCTGGTTTAACTGGAAGAGGTTGTTATAGATAGCCTTGCTTATCACCTAGATGGGATTTAGAACCACTATGGAAGCACCTCTGGGTGGGTCTATGGGGTGCTTCCAGAAGAGGTTTAACAGAAGAGGGAAGGCCCACCCTAGACACCAGTAGCACCATTCTATGGGCTGGGGTTGTAGGCTGAATATAAAGGGGAAAGCAAGCTGAGCACCTGCATTTATCGTTTTACTTCCTGACTGTGGATGCAACCCGCTGCTCCTGCCGCCATGCCTTACCCGCTGTGAGGGACTGGACTCTTGAACTATAAGCCAAACGTAGCCTTTCCTTAAGCTACTTTTGTCAGGTATAATACAGAAGATTAGACTTGTGACTGATCACTGATCACTTATCACTGAGGTGAGAAGCATGGTGAAATGCTTGAGTTTTGAGAGCAGGCTTGAAGGCGGAATCTGGAAGAGCTTAGAACTTTGGGCCCGAAAGCCCTAGAACGCCGAGAACAGAACTGAATGGGTTATTCTGGTTGGAATTTGGAAGACCAGAATGCCAAGAGGAATGTGGATAGTGGAGGCCTGGTACCTGACGTTTAGTGGGAACCAAGGACTGTCTATCTATCTGGAACTGTGCTAGAAGCCAATCATATTACACCCTGGCAAGAATCCAGCCGCATCCTTCCTGTGTCCTGAGCACTTGGGTGAGTCTTAACTCAAGAGTGATGGACGAATTGGCCTGGCGGAGGACAGAGACAATTAAGACAGAGTAGCATTCAGGCTGTGCTATGCTTCTGTTCACTGCTCTCACTCAGACCCACAGTAAAAATGAGCAAATGGAGCAGAGAGATACAGAAAGACGTGCAGACCGGTAGGGCAGAGAACGCGTACACGTTTAAAGCAGCTGAGAAGGGTGAGTGCTCTGAAAGCAGCTACAACTGATAGCACACTGCCTTACATGTGTGAAGTCCTGGGTCTTATCCCCAGCACTCTGGAGATGGAAGCGGGAAGCTCAGAGGTTCAAGGCCATCCTCAGCTATATAGTGAGTTTGGAACCAGACACCTCACGCTCCTGCTGCGATGCCTTCTTTGCCACTACAGATTGGTTCCTCAAACCATGAGCTCAAATAAAGCCTTCCTTCTTCAAGATGATTTTGCCCAGCAGTTTGTACAATGAGAAGAAAAAAAAAACTTAATACAGAGGTCTTGATATTCAAGTTTTCCAGAAACGACCTAAGAAGGGGAAAAATGGAATTCAGCTTGACCACCTCTGCAGTTGCTGAGTTCATACCTGCCACGTTCCCAGAAGAAAATGGCCCATCTATGCAGAGGATGGTGATGTCACACTTGGGATATGCCAAGCTTGGATGGGATAAGCTGCTCAAAGCTTGTCATCAAGTTCCCATGGCCATGTGCCAGAGCCCTGCCCCTAAGGCCTGAGGGCAGGGACAGGCAGCAGTGCCTAGTGAATGAATGAGCACCTTTTTTCTCAGCTGGATCTGGCTAGCAAAGAGGTGGCAATCAATATTTCCCCTGGGAGTCAGTAAGTGACTATTAAGTCATTTTTCTTTCCTTCTCCCCCCTTTCTTTCTTTTCTTCCTTCCTTTCTTTTGAAACCGAAGCTTGGTCAAATGTCTAGAGTATAAATCTTGTGGCAATCCTCCTGCCTCAGCCTGAGTGCAGGGATTACAGGCATGAACCGTCATGCCTGGCCCAGGGTCTTCTTTACTGCACAGAGAGCTGATTATTTAGAAGTCCACTGAAGTGTTCAAACTTCTGTTCTGTCTCCTCACTTAAGGCTCCACCTGGAAAGCAGGGGTCAAGGAGACAGAATTCAGTACATTTTCAGCTGTGGCCCCCTCTCAGGATGCCCCAGGGTGGTACTGTGTGAGTGCTAGGACCAGGCACTCAGCAGGTACTCTGCCAAAGTTCACGGGATGCTTAAATAGATACAGTGCCTTCAATTTTCACTGCCTCCAGGGATGAGGGTTTTCATACACCAATAGGGACAAAATCTGCTTTCCTTCTTGTTCCCCAAGGAAAAACCTTTTTTTTTTGATGAGGAGGCAGGAGAGTGGTTCACAGCAAAACCCAATACTTGGAGCTCATGAACTGCTGATGCCCACATAGCTATGGTCACGCGAGCAGTGGGTTGGTGACCTTAGCTCCAGCCCTTATATAGACCTGGGGTCTGCTCTTGCTAGGTCAGCCAGCCCTGCACTTCCCTCTCTCCTTGGCCAGGGCTGGCTGTGAACACCCAATCCCCACCCGGGCCTTCATGCATCTCTGGTTTTCTTTCTGAGCTAGGAATTTGATGCTGGCTCCATTCCCAGCTTCTCCAAGATTAGCTGCCTCTGGCCCCGAAGAAAGTAGGGCAGCTGTGTCCTGTGTCCTAGCCTCTTGAGGAGGGTGGGGCTGCTGAGGGAACTTACCTACGTGACAGTTGTACATCCAGATGCGGTAGCCATCATAGCGGCTCCTGCACTTCATGATGTTGTTAGAGAAATCTGACTCTGGTACCTCATAGTTGGGGTTAATCACAACCTGGAGAGGATCAAGACAGAGAATGCCGCAACTGCCTTTCTGGCTGCCCTCCACTCCAGGACAGAGCCTGGGTGTCCCTAACAGTTTGGCTGGGTCTTGTAAGAGGGACTGTGGCAAAATGAAGCTAACTGGGTCTGATGCTGTATCCTGGCCTGGTAGGGGCCACTCTGAAAAGTCTGTGCCTGGCCTGCTAACCACAACTTGCCCAGGGCACATGCCATGTGGCACTGTTCATCTAGACAAACTGTTAAATGTCCCTCTCTGGGGTGACCTGATTTTTCCTCGGTCTTTCTTCTCCCTAAATCTTAGTTGTAGCTCCAGCCCCACCCACTCAACACGAGGTGAACAGTACCTCCCACACTGAGGCCCAGGCAGTTCCCTGTTATTTTAGCATCCCTGAGGGATGTACATGAGCACATCAGTTTACAACCTGGGCTCAAGTCAGGGTCACAGGATGGGTGTGGCCCATGCAAGAGCAAGGGCTGGGGTGAACTATGTGATTTTCACAGTCCTCTCTGAACTCAGGCCCAAAATTCCGAAGCTCAGGATCATATGAGGGAAGTGGATTGACGTCTCTGAAGCTGGAGGAGATAAACCAAGGACCACGAGAAACCTATCTGCCCTTCCATTCCTGCTTCTGAGTCTGTGTACCCCTGGCCACTTCTTCCCTTCTGGAGTCCTCTTCCAATCCTCACAGTCTGTCACAGAGGCTAGCTTTTGTGTCCTGTTGACTTATAGTCTAGGGCATCCATAGCTCTGTCATTAGAAGCAGGGCATACCTCCAGGTCCATCCATCTGCTGATTATACAGCGTAGGGGACAAGAACACCACATAGAGACTTGTGGCTTGCATTTGCCTGGCTGTGACACGAGTATACTAACAGTGAATGTCCTCTCACTGGGAGAGCCAATGGGTCAATGCATTGCCTGAGTAAAGGCCAGCCTGGGCTATCAGAGACCTTTAAGCATTTTCCGCTTATATGGTGATACACATTTACCTGCCTAGGGACAGCAAGGTGCCAACATGAGCCACCAAGAACTATCTACATGTCCATAGCCATGGATGGCCATGTGTTAAATAAGAGAGCTCTGCTCCCAGGCCAGCTGTGGTTCTGGGCTTGACTTGTGGTTGGAAAGTGCTTGACTGTCTAACTTTTCAAGCCGATGCCCAGGCCTTCTTTCAAAGCACCCTGTGGTTACTTCTCTGCAGGTGTTGGCTCTTCAGGGGAGTGTCTAGCAGTAGAGACTGTGGGCTAGACCATGGACTGGCTGAACGCCCCATTAGGAATGCTTTCAAGGCAGAACAACCCATTTCTAGTCACACTTTGCCATCAATCAGGGCAAGCGGGAAGCGGGCTTTGTGAGGCTATGTGGAAGTGAGTCCTCTGTAGGCAGGAATGCAGCGGTGTGCCAGGAGAACACTGGGGTACAGTGCGTCCCCCTGCCACATGGCCACCACTGTCTGCAGGAAGGTGGAAGCCAGGGCTCCCTGGCTCTTCCTCTAGCCAGGGTTGTTGGAAGGCCTCACAGAATCGTCTCCTGGCCAGGTTGTCCTGAGTTTGACTTTTCTCGCCTTACAGATTCATTTATGTGCACGGAGAATGAGCCTTTTGCAGATCCTCCCAAGGAAGGAAAAAAACAATCACACCCTCCCAGGATGATGCAATTGCTTTCAGCCTCAATAGAACAGACGAAAGCAAGTGAGAAGACTGGAGGAAATCAGGATGACGGATGAAGGGGAAGCTGGAGATGTGGGTTTCCTGAGTCCACAGAACCAACTCTTGACTCGAAGTCTAAATCAGCTCACTGATACATTTTGATTTCAGGCTCCTGAGATTAACCAAATTATGCATGACTGTCTCTATATTTTAGGTTGCTCCATGGGTTCCCAGCATGCCCTGCAGACTCAGTGTCCTTCAGGCCCATGTGCCTCATGAACACTGCTTGACAGATAGGAGGGCCTCTGAGTGTGGCACCCTGGCTGGCCTCATGAGTCTTGTTTCTGGACACCTACAGGGAGGAGGCTGGGGAAGCTGCTTCTCCTCCTCCTAGCAGCCCTGGGTTCTGCCCACCTCACCTGGAACAGGTAGTCTCCAGGGGGCACATCGGTGATGTCTATCCACTGGCAGTCAATGTCGTGACGGTACATGTCCCAGCAGCCCATGGTGATGCCTTGTTCTCCGAAGTTGGCACACTCATAACTCTTCTGAATGTCTGTAGGTGGACGGAGAAGAGCATCATCACGTGACCACAGTCCCCACCTCCTATTCTAATCTCCATGTCTCCTACCCTGATCTGTTCATCCTTCTCATGTGGGTGTCTGATACTTTCTCATTTCAACAGAACTCAATTCCCTATCTATATGTCTGTATCCCCTCCAAATCTGGCTCAAGGTCCTTTCCTCCACAAAGTGCTCCCTGACCAATCTGGACTATGCTGGCATTTCTGTGAAATCTTTAGCCTCGGGGGGAGGGATAAGTGTCATGGTGATCTGTGTTTACTGTTTATCTTAACATGAGGCCACCTAATCTTTCTTCTCTAGACTATTGGCAATTAGACTATAGGCTCACATCTGATCTGCCTTTCTGGTCCCTCACAGATTGACCGCACACAGTAGACATTCAAAACCTCTTTGCTATGTGATTTTATGGGCCCATGCCAGCATCTAGAACCTCATGTGAGCTATAGGGAGAGGACAAATGTCTGTCCCTTGATGTGTCAGAGTGGCAAGCCAGGCAATTACAGTCAGGTGTGGTGACCTAGCCGAGGTAGAAGCAGAATGGTGTGTGCAGGGGGGTCAGGGAGAGAAGCTGGGTACATCACAGGGCTCTGTAGGCTGTTAGAGGAGAAGAGCTTGGCATTGGGACACCCGGGAAGAATGATCTGTGGCAAGCAGACAGGGAAGCGTGTGAGTCAGGGCCGAGTGAGAAGACCTCACCTGGAAGCCATGCATCCCTCTCCCTGCTGTGAGAACTTCTCTGGGGGACAGATCACTTCAGAACCACCTTCCCCCACCCCAAACCTGTAGCCATAGAAGGCTTCAAGAGTTGGCAAAAAAAAAAAAAAAAAAGGTCACATGGACACCCAGGAGTGGACAGAGTAATGTAGAGTTAGTTGTTGGGCCTGACCCCTATCCAGATGGACCGTGTTCAATCCAGTGAGAGTGTTCAAAGTTCTGTGAAGCCCCAATCTTCCCCCTTCAAACATACCTCCCTCACACTCAGTATCCTCCAAGCAGAAGCTGGCCTTGTGGCCCTCAGCCACCTTGGTGCCGTTGAGGCTCAGCAGGTCATAGTAAGTGAATACTTCCATGCTGTGGTAGTGCCTGGGAGCCAGAAACAGGGCCAAATGTCAGTGTCTGGAACCACAGCTGCCTGAAAGCAGCTTCCGAGCTGGTGATTTGCTTCTGGGAGAACCTCAAGGCAGCAGGGGCCAAGCGTGTCAGGGAGAGGAGTGAGGAAGGGAATGAGAGAAGGGAAGGCCAAATGCAAGACAGTAACTTCCAGGCAGGGCTGTCAGGCATTTCGCCACGCCTTGATCCCCTGTGGCAGTGTGGCAATGACATAACTTGCGTGGGGTGTTGTGGTGTCAGTGAGTCCAGCTGACAGCCCAGTGTCTGGCACTCAATTGGCCCAAGAAAATAAGCTTTGTAATACTCAGGGACCTTCTTGAGTACCCACTGGCTCTCAGCCCACTCCCACAAGGAATCTTTCTCCAGATTTGCTATAGGTCTGACAAGTGCCCATGTATTAAGATCTTTCCTGTGGGGGCACTATTGAGACACTATGGTCTACTCAGAGGTGCAGCCTCTGACTGGGAACATGCCCTCAAAGGGGATTTCAGGACCATCATTGTCTCCTTCCTTCCTTCCTTCCTTCCTTCCTTCCTTCCTTCCTTCCTTCCTTCCTTCTTTCTTTCTTTCTTTCTTTCTTTCTTTCTTTCTTTCTTTCTTTCTTTCTTTCTTTCTCTGCTTTCTGGTTTCAAGTATGCTTGTCCCTATGCATGCCCCTACACAGATGTGCTACCTGCTGTCCTTGGACACCAGGGCTTTGAACCTTCCAAACTTTAAGTCAAACAAACCTTTCTAGATTAGTTTCCTTGGTTATTTTTTTTTTTTTTACTAGCATAAACTATTACAACAGATTAATTTTAAGATCACATTTTTTTTTAAAGTGTGAATTCTAAAAGGAAGGAAGAAGATAAAAAGGGGAAGGGTGGGGTAGCAATTACAGAGAAATAAAAACAAGCCACATTCCCAAAGAAGGGCACACGTGATGCATGTGCACTCTGGCCTGGGAGAGGAGCAGCAAGCCCACGATCCTCAAATTGAGCAAACGAAACAGGAAGGGAAGGATAGAGACTAGATGGTTTCTGGGATGGAGAGTGGGTGGTTCTCAGGGAGGGATGTGGCAGTAGCTCAGGAAAGCGAATCTCTGGGGTTCTTTGTAGAAGGGAGCTAACTGAGGGGGCGCTTGTACAAGTCGGGTGCAGTTCCCTTGGCCGATTGTTTATGATGGTCCATGCTGTCACTTGAGAGAAATTGGGAACAGATGTCCTGAAGAGTGACGCATCTGGTTCAGGACTAACAAGGGAACTGTGCTACTGAGGGTAGCCGAGGGGTTTCATCCATTATGCAGGCCCAGGACAGAAGATCTCAGGCTGGCTTTAGCCCCATCTCCACCTGCCATGTGTGTGTTATATCTGCAACTATTCTGACATACCCATTTCCACCTCTGCAGGGACATTTAGTAAAGGAAGACCCTTAAGACCAAGGCACTGTGGGGGCAGAAGCTCTGGCTTTGTTTATGCCCAGCCCAAGTTCTCTCTTTGGTAAAGCAAAAATATTATTGCCAACTTCTGGGGTGGGGACCAAATACAATAAATAACACAGAGCTGTAGATGCAGTCCAGTTGTTAAAATGCTTGCCTAGCATGCAGGAAGCCTTCAGTTCGATCCCAGTGCCACAAAAACCAGGCATGGTGGCCTGTGAAGCCAGCACTGAGGAGGTGGAGGCAAGAGGAGCAGAAGCTCATGGTCACCCTCAGTTGCCTTAATGAGTCTGAGGCCAACCCAGGTACACAGGACCCTAGGTCCGAAAAACAAACAAAAGACAGGTGTCAAAGAGCCCAGACAAGGCTATACCAAGGGATGTCCTCTCTCATTTTCGATATTGGCCATTGGACGACTGCTCCCCACACCTGCAGTCACTGCTGCAGTGTTCAGAGTTCCTGGGGTCTCATCACCCAGCCTGACTATTGGTATAGTAGCCTGGAGCTTCCTCCACCACGTGTGGAACAGAGAAGCAGGCACTGCAAAGGGTTTCCAGAGAGGAAATTAGAGGTTCTCTTCTTTCTCCTATGTTTGCTCGTACTATATAAATAACGTCAGAAGTTGCTAAGTTGGACTTCCCCAGGTCATTCATGTTTGTGGGTAACGGTGCTGGGCCAGGGCCAGCAGACAGCCCTACAAGGAGCATTTTGTAGCAGATGAGGTGATGACTTTGAGGGAGTCTATTTTGGCTCCTCGCAGGGAGCGGATGAGACATGCGTCTGACTCACGGAATGAAAAAATGTCTGCTCCCTCAGAGAGGGGCTTATGTGACTTGCTGAGCGGCTGGAAAGATTGCAGGGAAGTACGTTTATGTTCCGTTGTCTAAACAGGATTCAGATGGAGCCACAGACGGCCTGCTGTGAAGCGGCCTCCTGCAGTCAGACCGCCTTCAGTCTGGATTTTAGTCTTCTCTAGCTTCAATTTTCCTCCAGGGAATGGGTCCTGGGGGAGGAAACCATGGGCTTCGTGCCCCCCTGCTTCTTGCTGACCTCTGTCCTGGAGAGTGTCTGCTTTATCTCCTGGACACCCTTGGAGGTCACATGTCCCTCCTAACTGATCTGAGGTAGAAACGGGAGCTGTCTAACTTTCGACTGGCTTCCAGCCACAAGATACTGGATGGATTCTGGGAAGGCAAGAGGGAAAAAAGTCTTGGGCACCACAGTGGCCCCTTATCATTCAGCTTAGAGTCTAAGGGGGTAGACTGAGCCCTGGGGTGGGCACTGCAAGCTTGGGAAGAAATCTCAGAATATTAAAAAGGGAAGTGTGGCCTGGTGCTTGATGGAATTCTTGTATTTGTTTGACTTTCCTTCCCATGGCACTAGGATACTGAGTGCTCCACCACCTACATCACCAGTCCTTGTTTCCCTCGACAGGGACAGACTAGTTCAAGTTGGCCTTGGACTCACTACATGGCCTCAAATTCATTACCCCAAACTGACTACTGAACGCTGGAATTACAGGCATGGGCTACCATGCACAGCTTCTGAAGTCCTTGTAATCCAGATAAAATGAAAGTTGGCCTTTACTGTAGGACTCCAGGGCTCTGTGTCCTGAGACCTGGCACTTCTCTCGGGATACGTCATGCTGGATGAAAACAGTGATGGAAGACAGACACAGTGTGTTCAGAGGAAAACTGAGCATGTTTTGATATACTGTTACTATAGACTGAGGAAAAGCTCTTGTCTCCACTTCGGAGAGACTCCTGTGTTTGATATGGTCCTCAGGGATGAGCATAAAGTCCTTCTGCGGGATCTAGCTTGCCATCCACATGTGTCAGGCCTACTAAGAGGTCTCCAACTGGCTCAGAGGCTTCATCACATCTGTGGATTCTGACCCTGTGGGGGTGCTACTAGGCACACGGGGGAGGCAGACTGGCAGGACTGATACTTCCCTTTCAGCCTCTGTGCCATTCCTGACTCCAGGGGATATAGCCTGTGCTCAGGCCCATTCCCTTGTTCCTCTAGCATCCTCCACTCCACCTCACTTTCCCAAGGAGGGAAGGGCAGGCCCCCAGAGTGTAGCTGACTACATAGAGGGCTCTGAGGTCACAAGGACACAAATGCATCTAAGAAGATACCACTGATGCCATCCCTCTGTGTCCAGATGGTATAAATCTTCAAGAGGGCTAATCTTTATGATTCAGCGTAGGGTCTTCAAGAGCAGAGAACTCTGCTCCTCCTTGTAGCATTAATTAATGTGGGAATGGCTGTTTCCCCATTCCCATTAATCTGAGCCAGGGCTTTCCTGCTTGGCTTCAGAATGCCTGTACACCTGCCGAAATGGAATGCTGATTCTTTCAGAAACAAGTTTCTTGAGTTGAGAAGGGGCAGGCCAGATCTTCTCAGCAAGAGACCCAACTGAGCTAAAGGCAGCTCCCTGAAAGGTCTTCCCAATGAGCATGGAGAGTACTAAGAAGAGCGTCTCGTGTCTGTAATCCCAGCACTTTGGAATTAGGAGCAGGAAGATCAGGAGTTCAAGGACAACTTTGGCTAGATAGGGAATCCAGGCTCACCACAGTCTCAGAAAATGCAGCGAAGCAAACCCAATGAGCTTAGAAGAGTAACCCAGAGCCCTGGAGACTGAGACTATGTGTGTGCTGGGTCTCATGACGTTCCTTGGATCTTGCGGTCATAGTTAGATGCCTGTGTCTAACTGTTTGGCTCACACCCAAACTGTGACATGCTGTTAGTTAAAAAGATATGGAGTGAGTCCCTGGGCACAAGGACAGAAGAGGGACTATATCAAGGTAACTTACCAAGAGCAAATGCATGTGAGGAAACAGCCTTGAAGGTGTTACCCCCATGTCCAATCGGCAAGAAACCAGGGGTGCCTAAAGGGTCATATATTTAGCCCATGTCCTCTTTCAAACTGTTGATAGGAATATTTGTAGGCAAAGGAAAAAACAGAGACCACAGGAAAAGTTTGAGAGTGTGTGTGTGTGTGTATCAATGTCCCTGGATCTCCAGCTCGCACCGTTGTCATGATAGCACCATATGACTATTCTTAGAGCACACACTGATGGCTCTGAGGGTAAGCATATGGCGCTTGGAGGCTCCTACCATGTAATCTTGGGTGGGCCACCATATGCAAGGCTGGAATATAATTACCTTCCACTTATAGACCCATAGGCAGGATCGGCCTCCTGCTGTCCTGGCTTCCTACTACATGGAAAACCAGGCACTGAGACTGTCAAGACTTTAATTATACTCCAACTTAGACCTTGGCAAAGACAAATGATTCCTTGGGCTTTAGCATATTTACAACATTCAGCTAGTTGTTTCAAAGAAAAACCAGAGGCCTCCATGGGATCATAGTGTTTTCTTTTCCAATAGGTTGTATAGCTCTATCCACAGACTAATTTAAATGTGAGGAGATCAGAATTTATAACACGAAGAAGAAACAAACATACGGAGGCACCTGGCGAAAGTCTGGAAGAGCCGATAGGGAAATCAGCACAGTTTAGAGCTGATGGGCCAGCCTGAGCTCTCTGAACTGACACTTCTTACGTTTTCTTGGGCAGTTATATGGAGTTCAATGACCTGTTTCCTGGAAGGTCAAATGGGACAACAACTGCCTCTGACGTCATTACAGTGTTAGAGCTGGATGGAAGCCCAGATGGAGCATCCTGGGCTCTGATGTGCACCCAGACCTCTGGTGGTCCTACTGAAATCCATATGGGTTCATCAGTCTGCAGCCAGCTCTGCAACTGAGCATGCTCAGGATCTTGCTGTGACGGTAGATACAGCAGTCCAAGGGCCTTGCTTTGAAAGGCAGTGATCTAGTGCAAAGATTTCCTGTCACAGATGGATTATTTGAGCCCAGAGAACAAGGTCTATTAGAAGTTTGTGGACCTCTAGAAGAGGGATTCCTGGTGGAAGGAACGGCAGCTGCTTTTCCAACTGTGTGCATGCAGTGTCCCCTACTTGCCCAGACTGAGAACAAAATGTCTGAATTCCATTCGAGTTAAGAAGAGCAAGGGGAAAATAGGAGGGAGGAGGTCCAGGGAGCTTCCATGGGCTATGGTGGGATTAGCTGTAGGACTTCCCTCTATTCTACTGTCCTGATCCAGTGTTCACAGCACCTGGATCACAGCCACGGACGAGCTGGAAAGGAGCCCAGAAGTCCCAGACAATGTGGCCCAGTTGGCCTACTGTCAGGTTGCTGGTCAGGGGATTAGCAGGCTTACAACAGGCCTTATGAGTCCTGGAGCTCCTATCTCCATACCCCCGTCTTCCTAGAGATATCAAAGATACTAAGTAAAAAGGCAGAGCAAGGGAGATTTGCAGTGGCAGTGGGGGAGAGGAACCATTAAAAGTCCGACCATGTGAATACAAATGCCATAATGGAGCACATTACCTTGTAGGCTAACTTTAATTTTAAACTTAAAAAAATCTCATATTAGTATACAAAATGTATTTCTATATGTATGCAGTGTCCAAGGCTGCATATTCGAACATTGCCTGTAGAGCACAAATGTATTGTGCATGCACTTGGAAACTGCTGACAAGGACCCTGGAGGGCACTGACACTCAGATCAGCATGTCTCCTAGGATCAAAAACACTGGATCCAAGAGGCAGGGACTCAGCAAAAGAGGAAGCGGCAGCCAGTGAGCTGGGAGTGGAGAATGGCTGTGGTGACTTACCTGTGGCAATCATGCCAAATCCATGCATGGCGGCCATTTTTGGGGCGGAAGTCAGACTGGCCATTGTTGTGGATCTGGGAGGAGAAGCGTAGAAGGCGCCGGTGGCCTCTCATGGGGTCTGTGTGCACAGCGGAGGCGGAGAGGCAGTTCTCCTCCATGGCGCACTGCAGTAAGGACATGGGCCTGTCTTCCAGGTAGGCAGTCTGCTGTACAATCTCAGCGTTAAGCACCAGGTCAGGTGCAGCTGGGGAAGACAGACATGGATCAGAACAGGAAACCCCTTCTGAGGGCACCCCTGAGAAAAGTACCCTCATTTTACATGTCCTTCTGGAGCTGGCCTAGGGCTCCCCATGCTACCTTCCTGTCACCCCCAATTACACTTTCATTTTGCCGGAAGTCTTCTTAACAATCCCCTTCAGTTACCAATATGGGTGGGCAAAATGCTGACATAGTGGGTGATAGGCACCCAAGGGCTCCTTAGATCCTTCTCTCTTTCTTCAAAGACCCCTTAGATCCTTCTCTCTTTCTTCAAAGACCCCTTAGACGGTCCATGATAAAGAGCAGAAAACAGCTGCGAAGGGAAACACTGCTCACCCTTAGTCTGATTCTATCTTTTCTACCATGGATGTAGCTTTATGGTCTACTAATGCCATCCCCTCATATGTACCTTTATTGTTGATGTCTAAACATTTTGTAACATTTGTGTGTGTGTGTGTGTGTTTTCTTCTTCTTTAGAATGCATCTATAATGCATTCTAAATGCACTAAGTTTCTAGCAGAGAAATTTTCAGGAGATGTTATTAAAACTCACCAGCAGCACAACATGCAACTGTCAGAAAATTGAGATCAGAGATTTTTGCATCTGTTAGAATTCAGTCCTAGAGGACCAGTATTCGTAAACCTTTCCACTCAAGACTCCTGAGATATTTTTATATGACTTTAACTACAGAGGTCTATAAAATAGGTATACAAATCAAACATTTGCTGGTTATAAATCACACATATACTTTACAACAGTTCTTTTGTATGCATACAACTTTATCATTTGTTAAGGATGAAATCGTTTGCATGGCTAGGGTTTCTATTGTTATGACCAAAAGCAACTTGAGGAGGAAGGAGTTTATTTCACTTAAAGGTTTCCATCCATCACTGAGGGAAAGAAGCCAGGCCAAAAACTCAGGGCAGGAACCTGGAGGCAAGACTTGAAGCAGAGGCTGTGGAGGGGACCTGCTTACTGATTTGCTCTCCATGGCATGGTCAACCTGCTTTCTTATAGCATCCAGGACCTGGGATGGCACCACTCTCAGTGAACATCTTGACAGGACCTAGTATCACTGGAGAAGGGAGTCTCTGGCTGTATGAGAGCGGAGAGGTACCCATTAGGCTTGCTCCTTCTGAGAGGAGGTTAGCTTCCTTTGAACTCAGGATAGGCTAACTACACATAGTTTACACGTAGCCTGGTACCCTAGAGGTAAATTAGGCAGACATGGAGCTACCAAATATTCTAGGAGCAGATGTAGATGTTGAGTTCAAGTACAATGGGAATGCTGGAGACGGAGCAGGCAAGTGGAAGTGAAGACAGCATTCGCCTGGCTTGGGGGAAGAAAACCAAGAGCCTTGTGACCGTGTCCCACACAAGTCTGCATAATCCATACAGTATGGAAGAAAGGTGGACAAGTGGACACATCCAGTGATGGTAGTGTAGAAGGAAATGCAGCAAAAATGCAGAAAGGAAGAAGGATTGTATGTGTAGGGGAGTGAGACTCCACTACTAAGGAACCATGCATTCAAATATATGAGCCTACGGGGCCAATCTTATTCAAATCACCATAGGTAGGAAGACCTATGCTAAACACGGGTGGCTTTAATCCATGGACTAGAGTTGTGGACTCCAAAGAAAGAGGAGAACTCTAGCCTTCATCTCTCTCTGCTTCCAAAGGTAGATATAATGTGGCCTCCTGCCTCTTCCTCCTTCCCCCTCCTAGACTGTATCCTCAAACTATTGACCAAAATAAACCCTTGCTTCCTTAAGCTGTTTTTGTCCTGCACTTGGGACTAAAATCAAAAAAAGGAACTGATACACATTCCTAAAACTAGCCCTTCCCTGTTTCCTCTTTACCATGTGTTTGGAGAGTAGATACTATGTGTCCCTTTTAATCCCACTGTGAAACCCCAGAGTCTTGGGAAGAGGAACGGACAGTTCCCTGAACTCCTCTAGAACTGGCACAGTGAAGAGTGAGAGGCAGCTAGCCCTTAGGCATTCTTACTTTCTGAGCAGGCAACTCCAGCACCGAACTGCACCCCACCCTCGGGGCAGGCCACCTCCTCATCATGACGGCAGTGTGCCAAGGATAGCTCTGTTCCCGAGCACTTCACTCCACTCATGACCACTTTGTTGTCGAAGATATTTCCATGCCAGTACCAGGTTTCCTGGAGAAATCAACCAAAGAAGTCACTAGCAGGTCACCTTGTCAACTTCTGGCTTCACAAAACCCTCACGGTTCTATGACCCCATTTTCTAGATGGAGATGGCAGAAGAACAGAGCCATTTATTCCAGCCGTGTGGTTAGCTGGTGACAGGATGAGTGAACTTCTAGGACTAAGCCTGGCTTTGCAGGAGAGGAGAAATCCATTCACGTATGTCAATAACTAGCTGTCTTATAAAATTCAACTTCTGGAATTAAATCTAGGTTAAGTATTTTATAGGATGCTGACTGAGGGGTCCCCAGGTTTATGATTCTGAGATTTATTGGGCCCCTTCTAGATACAGAACTTCAAAAGCACTGTTAACATACACTCTCACACCTCAAGAAGACTTCAATAGAGAAAACCAGAGAAGAGTGGAGGGGTCAAGTCAGGTAAAGGGTGTGCAAGACAGCATAAGCGCCTGTTGCTCCTGAAGTTTCCAAAGGTTATTCATGTGTCAACTTGTCTCAGCAACAATATCTAGATAAGTAATACCCAAATAAATTTGTCTACTGATTGATGGGTAGATACACAGTTTTAGGTAAGTTACAGAGATGAGGAGTTGGCCCTCTCTTCTTGAGTTCTATAGCCATTCATTCACAGCCTTGGACTGAAAAAAAAAGAATATTGAAAAAATAGTGACTATGTTGAGCATGTATAGACTTTTTTGGGCCATTTTCCCCCAAGAAGTACAATATCACAACAGTAAGCATAGTATTAACACTATATTAGAGACGTAAGCCATCCAAAGACAAGGAGGTTCAAGGAAAGACATGTAGATGCTAAGGGAACACAGCATCATTTCATGAGAGGACTGGATCATCAAGTTCTAATGGAGGTCCTGTACTAATCCCCCGGGGATACTGAAGGATGACAATATATAGATCCTATTGGTTCTGTTTTCCAAAATCCTTCTAATTCTTCACGGTAAAAACCCAGGGCCCTGAGCAAAGATTGAGTTTGTCTTAGGTAGCTCTTTAGGACCCCAAGCTGAGGCCCAGGAATTTTGGAAATGAACTGTCAGAGAAAAAAATTAGCCAGCCAGTAGATCTGTTACATGGAGAATCAGATTGTGTGTGTCTGTGTATGTGTGTTCGTGTGTGTGTGTCCATCAAGTTTGTCCTGGGAGGCTAATCTCCCAGATGGTGTGAGCCATATCTCTCCTGGAGCCTAGAACGATGAGCTGCAGACAGAGAACACAGGCATTCCTGGCTCCGCCCATATCAATCCATAGGAGACTAACAACCTTAGCAAAGACGGCAAGTTCCTTCTTTAGGTCCCAGAAAAGGTTATGTGGTACCAGGAAATAGAGACAGGTTAGCACACGAGATGGACCACAAATCTTGTCCTGCTTCATCAGTGGGGACAGAGGATTATGGACCCCTCGTTCCTTATTACAGGTGGGATGTCTGGGGCACAGAGGACTGGGTGCTTTGCCATAGACTATCATGCAGGAATGGAATTGGGAATAATCGGGACATCTAGTCCTGTGCTGCCTGTGACAGAGGGCAGGGAATCAGAAATGAGGACCAGAGTGAGCTTAGTGGCTCTCTTGAGTCATTAGGTCACTGGAGAGTGGCCCTGGGAGAAAGGTGTAGCCAATGTGACAAGAGTTCAGATCACAGCCTGGAGATCTGGTAGCATATCAGTTAAAAAAAAAAAAGTCAGAAACACCAAGGAGGAAAGGGTCCAGCTAAAGAGGGTTTCAAGGGAGCAAACTTAAGGCATTCAGAGTGTTGATCCTGGGGCTGAGTTCTCCCCACTTTCCTCAAAGACCAAATAACTTCTCTCTACAAACAGCTCAGCCCTTAGCCTGGGGAGAACCCAAACATGCAGACAGGAGTGGTCCACAGACAGCAGAAAGTGGCCCAGAGGTGTCCAACCTACAATGAGTGGGTGGATGGGGGGGTGGGCTAAGCTGTGAGGATAGGACCACTTACCTGGAAGGCGTTGCTGGCAAAGCCCAGGCCTAGCTGCCGGCAGACCACCATGGCTTCCACAATGCCCCAGTTCTGGCCACATACAGTCCCCCACACAAGGGACCCATTTCTCTCTGTTAGTACCTCCACTCTGCCCTCATAGGGATTGCGGCCTCCATTCAGGCGCACCTGTGGATAGCAAGAAACATGATCATGAGGATAAAAGGGAGGTTCTCTCTATATTGCCATTAGCTCCAAGCCAGGGAGTCCTACCTGGCCACCTTTGAATTCAGAACCTCCTTAAGGGCCCTATGGGTGCCAAATTATGCCAGCATGAACTGAGTGAGGCCTCACTCAGGTGTCTGGACCTCCTAAACACCACTCTTTTTGGAATGTAACGCTTCCCAAGAGGTAACATGGATTATGTATATAGCATCTGGATTCTGCTGGATCTGGCCACTCACTCATAGATACTAGGTGCCACTGACCACTCACAGAGCCTCTCTCACTGTGGCTCTTTTCTCCCAGTGATAGAAGAAATGATGCTTCACTGTAGCTGGACCTTGTGCATGCTAGGCAAACACTCTACCAACGAAACCACATCCCAGATCCCATTCCCTAATGCTTATGCATAAGCCCCAGTGCTATTCACTCTGGAGGTGTGGTCTCTAAGGGGACAATTAAGGCCACATGAGACCATATGGGAATGCTATAATTCAACCAGACTGATGATGTCTTTATAAGGAAAAAAGAGCCTCTAGGGATACAGCAGGCACAGGAAGAGGTTATATAAGGCAACAAAGAAGGTGGCTGGAAACAAGTCAGAACAAAGAAGCCTCAGCAGACACAGAGCCCCGCAACACCTCAGCTTGGCTGTATTTTCCTTGTGGGATCAGGAGGGGACCAATCCCATTGGTGGAGATGGAAGCATTTGGGGTCAGCAGCAGCAAACCTAAGGTGATAAAACTCAGATGCTTTGATTCTTCCCAGCATGGATGCTGACACACTTGGGAGCCCCATGCCAGGCCATGCAGTGCTTGAAGGGCTGCTGTGGCAAACAAACTCTCCCGCTTTGGGGTTGTATTCAAGAAGCATGGCCTCGAACCTGGGTCTTGGAAAGGTGAGACCTGTTGGCAGTGGGGATCCAGCACTTCTGTTATCACATCCAGGCATCTGACCTAGCTCTGCTCTATCTCTACTGACCGTCAGAAGGTTCTGGAAAGCCTCATTTCTTTGGTTGAGGGTCTGTCTCATTACTGAACTTTGACTCATCTGGAGAATGACCCAGCACATTGGAACTTACAGCTGGCCATGGGTTCCAGCCTTATCAAGATTCTCTTAAAATACTTCTGGCAGTTCCAGATGGTGTTTCCCTGTGTTTGTATTTCTGCTCACCCACAAGGGAATACCCAGCTCAGCTGCCTGTTGCTGGGTTCCCACCTATGGCTGGGTTAAAGACAGTGAATTGCATCAGGAGTGTTTTAGTGTTCTGGTGCTAAGGTTGAGAACTGCTGTCTAAGCAGGAGCCTGTCACATCTGCTGCCATTATGTGTCTGTTTAAATAATCATACAATAATAGCTCTATGACAGATGTCACACAGTACTTGAAAAATTTAAGGCACGGTGAAGAGCGTTGTGTAGGAAATCCTGGGTGTTTTGTAGCATTGGCTAGACTTCCTGAAGGATAAGGGAGTGGGGGATTCTTCCTGGTAAGCAAGGGAGAGCAAGCTCTTCAAACTCGGCTTCAGGAAGGGTGGAATCTGTCTCCAGTTGCAGTTCTGCTGACTTCTTAGTTCCTTCTGTTTCTACACTGCTGCCTGTGCCGTGCTCACTCCATGCTCTGTAGACTTGCCATCCATCAGTGTAGTACCTCTGAGTCCTCACAGAGAACCTACGTCAATGGTGTCAGAGGTATGGTAGGCCCTGAGTCTCTTATAGAAAATTCGGAACTGCCACTGTACCACATGCCTAGTCCCAAAGCAAAGAATAGCCTATGGTAAGAGACCAGATATCTGCTACACTAAGAGCGGCATTTATGTGTTTGCTCATTTGGCACACTTAAAAATGTTGTGTGGCAATGACATTGAGCATGCAGTGGCAAAGCTGGTATCGAGAGTTCATCATAAGGGGCTGGAGAGATGGTTCAATGGTTAAGAGCACTTACTGTTCAAGAGGTCTTGAGTTCAATTCCCAGCAACCACATGGTGGCTCACAACCATCAATAATGGGATCTGATGCCTTCTTCTGGTGTGTCTGAAGACAGCTACAGTATGTCCATATACATGAGCACTTTTGCTTACCCTGGGGAGTCCTTCAGAGTAAGGCTACCTGATCTGTATTCTTTGGGTGAGCCATCACAGATTCCTCTGGGTATTCTATCTCCTCACCTTTTTCTGAAAGCCCATGATGGGGATATTGCATCGAACTCCAGCATCTTCCTCATGGTTGCAGCCCTGCGACTCTGTGTTGAGTTTGCAATCTATGATGGACTTCTCAGTCCCCGTGCACTGGACCTCGTTGAGGTGGATGGGCCCAATCCCTAGGAAGGGAAAAGAAGATGTGTGCTATAAAATCATCCAGGAAGTTTCCTAGAACCTGCAAGAAAGACCCTGGAAATCAGACTTGGCCTCTTCCATCTTCAAAACTCTCCCAACCCAGGCCCCTTCTCCCTGGCGAGAAGGGTGTGTGTGTGTGTGTGTGTGTGTGTGTGTGTGTGTGTGTATTTTGCTATAAGCACAGATAAAATTCATTACTAAACTGCCATGTGACCTTGGTCAGATCACATAGTATTATGGTTTTCAATGTAAAATGTTCCCCACAAGCTCATGCATTTGAATGCTTGCTCACCAGCTGGTGGTGGTGTTTTTGAAAGATTACGAAAACTTTCCAAGCCTTGCTGGAAGAAGTGTCACTGGGGAGTGGGCTTCAAGGTTCGAAGGCCTGGTCCTACTTCTGGTCCATTATTTCCTTCCTGACTTCAAATGGATGAGATGTGACCAGCTGCCTCGTGCTCTGGCCACCATGCCTTCCCTGACATCTTTTTCTTAAGTTATTTCTTGCCAGGTAACATCAGTGGGAACAGTAAGTAGCTCACACATCCAGCCTCTCTAATCACTGGGCTTCTCTCTTCAATATAGGGGCCAGACTAGAAGATGCTACTAATTTACCCTGCGGCTACCACATGCTGTGCATCTGGGGATCTGAAAGGAGTAACTATGGCTCTACTTGTGAAAGTCCCCATAGGAAACAGGTAGACTATACAAACCATGAGGTCTGAATTAGAAAGGGGTTAAAATACATTTAAGGGTGGGGTGTAAGGAGTGTATATCCCAGAATAGTAAAGAAGCCAGGGTGAATAATACTGGGGCTCAGACCCCTAAGAGTGAGAGCCAATAACTCACTTAGGAGAGGTGAGGAAAGGAGAAGACCCCAGAAAATAGTTGTCACCCTTCATGGAGGGACACAGTGCCCATAGGAACTGCCTAAGCCTCTCTCCTCTGGTCATCTCCAGTTCTCACCAGTGTCTGTGTTAGCCAAACCCAACTATGCCTTGAGGCAGGGGGCATCATGGTGGAGAGTGGACCTGGAAGGGCAGACAGGAGAGATGCTGCCAGCAACATGGAGATGGAACTAGGAAGCTTGTCTTTCTGGGGGTGTGGTGGTGAGAGTGAGCCTCAGACTGGAGAGAAAGGGTACTCTGGCCCCTCTGCTCACACCCACACTCTCTGTTTTAAGCATGTGACCTTCTTGAAGGGTCTCTGCACTTGCCTCTTTCATCTTCACTAGCCTGTTTCTCCATAGGCCCTTCCCATGCCAGAAAATGGCACCTGCTAGGACACATGGCATCGGTGGAACCCGAAGATCATCTCTGGTGCCTCCTTCATCCCAGACAATCATCCCATCACATTCTGCTCACTCATCTCTCTAAATCTGGGTGCTTAGTTCCCACCCCCCATTTCCTCAACCATAAGAACTGTGTCCCCCCAACCCCCATGGATAATGACCATGGCTAAAAGTCTTTAGCTCTGTCTCTCTGCTCTGTTCTAGTATCTTCTCCGCATAAAACCCCTATAAGTTGTTGTTTTTTTGTTTTGTTTGTTTTGGTTTTTGACTTTTCAAGACAGGGCTTCTTGTGTAGCCCTGGCTACCCTGGAACTCAGGCTGAAGATCAGGCTGGCCTTGAACCCAGAGATCATCTTGCCTCTGCCTCCCAAGTGTTGGGATCAAAGGTATGTGCCACCACCATCCAGCTGCCCATGGAGTTTTTAATTCATGTCAAATGCCTTCAACGGCTTATCACTGCCCTGAGGGAGCAGTGCGCATGATCTGCTGGCACCAAATGATCTTGGAGGTCCTATACTTGAAGACCTCCCACCCATGTTCCAGTTCAGCCCACTCCTCCCACCTCAGGCACCGAGGTCTCAGGCTCCTCCCAGCTCAGACACAGGGCTCTGGGATTCCATCATGGAGTCCAGTGCTCCTCCCTCGGCATGGCTGACACTCCTCCACAACCCACCCACTGACACCGATCCATCCTTCATTTCATTGGAAAAGTCTTTCTGGACCTCCGTTCACCCCATCTGTACTTCATTCCGCCCTGTAACCCCGCTTTGAGCACTCTGCTTTAACTTGCTCCCTGAGGATGCCTCCCCCACCAAGAGGGCAGGGACCCCACATCTTCCTTCTGTATATTCCCAGCCAGTGCCTTGCAAGACAGGAAATTTCCACGATGTCTACACAGATGCAGCTGACATCACTGAGTGCCTCTGACCTGTAACCCATTGGCCATGGGCTACAGACTCAGGAGAAGGCGGAATCTGCCTTGAAAACTTCTCTATGCCTAGGCAGGCAGGAGCCACACGAAATGACATAATGCAGTCAGAAACAAAAATGGAGATGGCCACAGGTTCCTTGGGGTCCAGGAGGGCCTTGGCCCTATTAAGGGAGTAGAGTGTCTGGAGACGGTCACCATCTAGGTGTCCTGAGGCCCAAAAGTGACTTTTAGAAGGAAAGTGCCAAGTTTCTGCTTCCATAGAAATTTATAAAGGAAGACATTTCTTGGAATTTTACAAATTAGTAAAAACATTTCATGAAAATTTGCCAGAAGATTACAAGGATCCAAAGCACAATGGCTAAGACAAATTGCAGATCCCCCAAAGGGAGCCAGAGCCATAGGATTAGGCTTGGGTTATGAATTGGAGGATAATGACAGAGATGTCCATGGCTGACATTTACTGCAGATTAGATCACAACATGCAGTTTATCTCAACTCATTTAAACATCAGGGCAATCCACTGCCTGTCACATGTGCTTCTTACTGTGGACAGAAGGCTTTTACAGTCATCTCTTTAGCCCTACCCTGCCCAATACACAGGAGCCAGTGGCTACTCAAAACATAGGGCAAGTGCATGAGCTGTAAGCATAAAATACATGATGGGCTACAAAGCTGTATTATGGAAAGGCAAGCAATCTTGTTAACAGCATTTCTATCAATGACATGTTAAAATTATAGTATTTTGGATATACTGGGTTTAACAAGATGTATTATTAGAGTTCACTTCACCTGCAATTCTTTTCATGTGGCTATTAGAAAATTCAAGATTATATATGTGGTTTGTATTACGTTATTGCAGGAAAGCACTGGTCTACGGAGCTGGAATGTTTGTTCAGTTGACCATATCTGTTCAATTGGAGTGTGCCTCCTCTTCCAGGGGTGCCTTCCTCCCTCAGTCCCTCCCTGGATATCTCTGGAGCAGTACCGTCTGGGCACAGACTCTAAGGACAGGAGCTAAAGCACACAGGCCTATCCCTCATATATGGTTCCGCTGCTGGGGAAGGTAAGGGTGTGAGCAAACACCTGGGACCTTGTTGCTGGGCTCTTGGGAAGAGCCTGCTATACCCTAGCATCTATCCAGGTGACACTGGAGCCAGACATCTCAACTGCATGCATCACCTACCCAGCTACCTTGTTTCACAGTGAAGAATCTCAGGGTTCTCCAAGGTCACCAGACAAGTAAATAGCCAGGCCAGGATGAAGACTCAGCCTCTGTCCTCTCACTACCCATGGGTGTGGGTGTGGTTACTTGTTCCATCAGCTAGAGCCAGGACTCAGAAGCTGACCCTATCTGCTCTAGGGCTTGTCTTGAAAGTGGTACTTTTCCTTTCCCGACTATTGCCATCGTATACCCAACGTGGCAGAAGGCACATGAACCTTCCATGGTGCTTTCAAGGCCAACATCAAAGGTACTCAAGGCCTCTTCTTCCAAAAATTCCTCAGGCACTTGTAAACCTTTGGCTGCTCTGGATGGTGAAAGAATTAGGTCATACAGAACACACTCATGACACATGGAGTGTCCATGTCATCAAATACTTGCTTGTTTATGCTCCGGGATGAGTGGCCCTGGTCCCATGGACCTTAGGAAAGCACAGACTTTACATGTGAATCAACTGGCAGAGTGGACTGTGGGAACACTGAAGAGCCTGATTTTCTCACTGGGATCTAAGGAGAATGAGTTGTTGTGTAGCTAGCAGAGATTGCTAGGTAACACAGTATGCTGCTGCTGCTGCCACCACCGCCGCTGCTGCCGCTGTCCCAAACCATCTACCCGTTACTGCACACTTGGAACATTGGCACAGGAAAGGATCAAATGTGATCCAGACTGGGAGTGGAAGGAGATAGTGTCAAAAAAAGGAAGCCAAAAATGTAAGAGTTTGGAAACTTCAGTCTTTCTGCCAATTACTGGGGTTCCCTGAGCCTAAAATGCCTCATATGGTGGACCAGAGGAACTGAGTTCCTCTCCAGTAGGACAGGTCTATGACCACAGGACTCTTCTCAGTTCATGCCCAGGGTGGCTGGGGGCGTGGCACACTGCAGGATGGTCAAAGACAGATGAGCTGCATATTAGGATATGCCAGTTCTGTGTTCTTCTTTAACTAAGCTGGAGATGAAGCTCGACCAGGATGCTGGAGTCCTAGCAGAGGGAACCACTGATGTGGTGTCCACGGCCTGGGTGAGTGAGGACTATTTCTTCCTTCAGGCAGCAACCAGTGAGCTCTCCAGATTCCTTTCCATGGGGTGATGGCTTCACCCCCGAGACTATAGGTTTCCTCTCACAGTCTAGGAGAGTGATTCTTAACCTTCCTAATTCTGTGACCCTTTAAAATAGTTTCCTCATATTATGGTGACCCCCAACTAGCCATAAAATTATTTACTTCATGACTGTAATTTTGCAAATGTTATGAACCATAATGTAAATATCTGATATTCAGGATATTTGATACGTGACTCCCAAATGGGTTGTGGCCCACAGGTTGAGAACTGCTGGCTTGGGACATCTCATCCTTGTCTGTAGCCCAAGCTACATCCTTACTGCCATAGCAGCCTCCCTGCTGGTCAGTGCTGAGCAGATTCCAAGAAGAGATCAAGACTGTCTTCCTTTAAGCACAGTTCTTCAGGGGAGGGCTGAGCACTCAAGAGGCTGCTTGATCTTGGGAAAGCTTCGATGGACAAGGGCTTTCAAGGCTAAGTGGTTTTCATGGACTTACCTGGGAGAGGTTGTGGTCTGTTCTGTGGTCAAGGGGACAGCATTTCTCCTGAGGTTCCCCCATTGAATTCTCCCCATTCTTTTGCTCCTTATTCACAGGAATGACTTGTCTGGGATACTTAATAGAAACCAGCATCCTTCTCACAACTGTCACATGACATCAGAGAGGGCTGCCCTGTTTCCTTTCTCTGCTGCCAGGAGGAGACCAGTATTGGCAAGGCAGCAACAGAGTGGAAATGCCAAGGTGATGGTTCTTTTGGGTGCATCCAGGCTTGATGTATTCCGAGGTCTTTTCCTGGAGGAAGGACCTGGAATTCTGGCTTTCCCATTGGAGCAGCTGAGAGTACAGAATGAGGCATTGGAGACCTGGCCTGGTCTGTCTACTAGTTGCTCTTCTACCATCTCTCTTTGCCCAGTCACCCTTTCTCTAGGGGGCAGTTCCAAACCCATCAAATGGGGATTTAATGTTCTCTGAGGAGATGGTTCAGGGAACAGGGGTATTCCAGGATTCCCTAATGGATGAGCTGCAGCAGGGAAGGAGCAGAGAAAGCTGAGCTTGAGGGGGGTCATGACCTCCCTCAGGACCTAGGTTCCTAGGACCATATTTTCCTCTGAAGAGAGGCTTCTACCTTCAGGTACCCCGTTTCTTACCTTGCCCCAGCCTGGAGCCTGTGACAGCCTCTTTCGCAGTCCCGAAGCCCAGCTCTCTGCAGACCACACTGGCAGATACCAGGTCCCATTTGTCATCGCAGACGGTTCCCCATTCTCCATTCTTGAGCACTTCCACTCGACCCTCCCCGACCTGGGCTCCACCTCTCAGCCGCACCAAGGGTTGCTGGAGAGACACACATGGTCCTGGTGAGTGCAGAAGTGACACACATCTTTCGAGTTGTCAGAGCCCCACTTCTGTCCCATGGCCCTGCCAGATGGCCATAGCTCAGAGTCGAAAACTGATCACTTATTGAGGGTCGGTTGGGGGGTGGGGGCAAAGATTCCCTCTGCAGCCTCTCATGGGCCTCTGTCTAGGCATCCTTGAGGCCACAATCAGCTCATCACTCCCTCCTATGCTTGGCTCCGAGATCCCAGCAGCAGCAGCAGCTTTCTACCTCCAGTTCTGGAACCTCCAGTGTTAAAGCTACACAGAGAAGTTTCCACCTTCCAAGCCCACCGCTCACCAGCGAATCCTTATTTTCCACTGCTTGTAATAAGAGTCTTACAGTTTAGTCCTGCAGGGAGGCCCCTTGGTGAAGAGCCAAACACAAGCAGTAATTCTGCTCATAGAGAGAGAGGCAAGAGGGAGCCACAGGAAGTAGCAAGACAGAGTGAAAAAAAAAAAAAAAAAAAAAAAGGAGGCCTTACCAGGAAAGACAGACCTAATCAGGACTAATCAGGACGTGACTCAGCAAGGAAGCTGCAAGGGACAGGGAGTCTTCTTAGTTAAGACCAACAGCCAGTCAAGTCCAGTTCAAAAGATATAGCCTGTCCAGACACACAGAGAGGGCAGAGAGGGCAGAGAGGGCAGAGAGGGCAGAGAGGGCAGAGAGGGCAGAGAGGGAGGAGATGGTAGTTTAAATGCCCCTAATCTTACTCACTGTCTAGAAGCCTCAGCCCCCTTCTGGGACTTCCGGAATTACCCAGGAATAAGATCCATTCCCTGCAAATTTCATGAAGTCTGTGGATTACATCTAGAAGGTTTGGAGTTGGCCTCACCTGTCTACACAGCAGCTTTGCCTCGGTTTCTGTGCACATGTACATACCCATTTGTGCACACTGTGTGTGGGTGCGTGTGTGTGTGTGTGTGTGTGTGTGTGTGTGCAAGGCTCTGAGTTACTGTTGATACTTGATGGAGGGCTGTGAAGTCACTGTAGGCAGATCAGGCCAGAGACCTTATTCTACTGCGACTTATGTGGTCTATAGCCTATGACTTCCTTCAGCCCAAGTACTGATGGCCAGGATGAGGCAGACCTGCCTGAAGGTGGTGTATATCAAGCATTCTAACCTTCTGCCACCTCAAGGAGAAAGGCACCAAGTAAGAGCTGTCTGTCTAGTCTTCCAGTCACCCCTGGCTTCCCCACAATGGTGTCTTGGGGCTAGCCTTGAAAGGGAGGGTGCTGTGACACCCAGACACCCAGAGTCCCCTAGAGACTGCTGAGCCCGGCACTCATGTGAAAAGGGAGGGTGGATGGGTGAGCTCAAAACACTGAGTGGCTTCAGAAACTTTGATTCTTACTTCAGAAAGCAGAGCACAGTGCGGAAAACCACTGGCTATAGCCTCTGTTTTCAGCAAAATGTGACCTCCTTCCCAAGCTCACGAGTGGGATATAGTGCCCCCACCCCCACTCACGTGGACCCACCATCCTGACCACAACTAGATGGAGACAGAATATCAGATTGCTTAGCCACAGACCCTGGCAGTGGCCAGGTGGTGATCCAGCTGGCCACGGAGTGAAGACAGAAACCAAGGAAAATATGAGGTCAGCCTCCCACTTTGGTCACTGGTTTGGTATGAACTTGACTCCTTTCCTTTATACAGAACAGCAGAGGAATTCCAAAACAGTAGGATCTGGAACTCTGGGTGACAGGGAAAGCTGGGGGTGGATATGGGGAGGAGGCAGGATGAGGCCACCAGGACGAGGGGCAGGGGAAACGAAGGTTCAGGCAGGGGTAAATTGGGTCCTAGAAAGAGCACTGTCCAGCTGTGCCTGTGACATAGTACGAAGGTATCTGATAAAGTAGTCACATATTTGCACTTCCATGGCCCCCTGAGAGGATTGAGCAGGCCAAGCTCACTGTTTCCCAGAAATTCCAGAAAGTTAGGAGGTTCCTTTAAGTCATTCCCACAGCCTGGGCAGAAGGCTAGGCTCCCAGCATGCATTTCACTCCACTCACTTACTGCTGGGACTTTCATTCAAATACCTCCCTGTCTGAGTGAGGCACCCTGGATGGTTTATTGGAGGCATCCTTCCCTTGATTTCCTACCTATGTGGGGCACTTCAGAGGTAGCTGAGGAAAAGGGTAGGCAGGAGGAAGAGAAGGGAGAGGAGACACAGTTACTATTGGTCTGCGGAGACATTTCTACTGTTCCCCCAACTTCCATTCCTCTAAAGCTCCTTCCTCTCCTCTTCTCCCCTAGCATGGAACTCACCCTGCCACCATGATGTCTTTTGAGTACACAGATCTTAAATGGCCTGGGGACTCAGCCCATGATAGAAGTTTTATCAAGCCTGTGACTCAAATCCTGATCTGTGATCAATCCTTCTTCCAATTTATGTTAGCAATTTCCAGAACAGATACCACCCACAAACATCCAGTACCCAACAACACATATTAAACACACATACACACACACACATAGAGGGAAGGAGAGAGGGAGGGAGGGAGAGAGAAAAAGAACAGGATTGTTTGGCATATACATACATACATACATACACACACATATGTATGTATGTATGTATGTATCTACGTATGTATGTATGCATGTATGTATGTATGTATGTATGTATGTATGTATGTATGTATGTATATTTATCCACACACACATATGAAGACTGTCTACATGATTATGGAGGGAAGACAGATTAGAGACCCTGGCTTTTTCAGAGGATCAGTCTGCCCTATTTGGGTCACTCACTTGTTCTGGGGAAATCAGTCAGCTGAAATGGAGGATCTAATTTATATGGGAAAATATGCCTCCCTGCCCCTGCCCTCAGACCAGTTAGTCTCACACACCCTCTATACAAACCAAGAGGCCATTCCTGTAATGGCAATGTGGCCAGCAGACAGATGGCTAGTAGGTGAAACCTTTGTGCAGTTAGCTTTTCTTCTGTGAAATAAACCCAAATGAGTTAGAAAAAAACATGGCTGAAGTCATGTGCCTTGGAGAGTCGAATCCTTCTTCCTATAGTTCCTGAGTCCTGGATGCTTTCTCCTTCAGGAACTTTATAGGAGCACAAGGTCCCTTCCTGGCTGGCTACTCCATATCACTTGCTCATGCTGACTCAGTGGACTGAGGACAAGGAGCCTGTGCTGGCCAATAATGGGGTGCTCTCCACAGAGTCCGCTTTGATTTTTATTGAGGCAGCAACAATGGTCTCAGCTGGGGCCAGTTCTCTCTCCTGTTCCCTATCTAATCATGACCCCTACTAGTGGCCAAGTGCCCATACTTTTTGCCCAGCCCTTACCTCTGGCTTATAGGCTTTCCGGAACCTTGAGGGTCCATCAGGGCTGAAGATCTGGCTAGGCACACAACTGACCACAGCTGGCTGCCCGTTCTCACAGGTGGCATTCTTCACAGGGTCCCGGGACACTGAAGGGCCCAGCTTGCAGCTGGAGATGTGTGCTTCAGTGCCCGTGCAGTTCATAGAAAACTGCCAGTAACGCAGCTTCCTCCTTGAGGCAAAGGTTCTGCAGGGAAAGGGAAGGGATGGGTAACTATAGCATCCCAACAGTCACCTGCTTCTCTCCTGCCTAGCAGGTCCATTTCCCAGAATGCAGTCTCCCTGCCCTCTCCCACCCCTGTGCTGGATTATAGGCATGCAGCAACACTCCTGCCTTTATTTTTATTTTAAAAGCATAACAGTTAAAGGATAGTGGTTTCTAAAAGCCCCTTTCTTAAAGAAACAGGCAAATGATAAAGTAACTAAGCCAGTCCTATGAAAATAGCAATTGTCCATTCAGGGACAGAGCTCTTACAACCTAACCACCCCCTAAAGGTGCCACTTCTTAATACTACTACAGTGCAATTTGTAGTAGAGAGGACAGTCAACCCATAGCATTCTGTAACGATGCATGAAGGTTAGGGACTGGGATGGCTGGAGGAAGAACTGTGCTGGGAGAGTCGCTGGCCCATGGCAAGATCCCTGGTACCAGAAGAAAGACCCACCTCCCAGAGCAAAGACAACTCCCAATTCTGGCAACTGGGGCCCACAGCCAACTCTGCAGATGCATATGTTGATGGCTTTGCCTCCATCTTTTCTGTGAATTGAAACACTGTTGTAGGAAAGTTAAAAACTCAGGTGAGGATTAATCTCTCTCCTTAGTTTTGGTCGAAACTAACTAAATGGGTTACTCTCTCAGTGCAGGTGAATATTCAGACAGAGGAATTATCATAGCAAGGTGGCAGCTAACTCAGTGAATGCTGGTAAAACACTTAAAACAGTGCACATATCCAGGGAAGCAGTTTTTGAAATGAATAAAAACTGTAGGGGTGACGTGGATTGTCCCCCAGGGGTTCATGTATTGGAATGTTTGGTCCTCTGCTACTGGCTCTGTTTTGAGAGAGGTAGGGCCTGGCCAGAGAAGATGGGTCTCTGCAGGAGGGATGGTCAGAGTGTGGACTCTCTTCCGCTTTCTCGGCTCCTGATCCTCAGGGATGTGAGGAGTCCCAGCTGCACACCCCTGCCAGTGAACTCCATCATGGCTTCCCCACCATGATGGACTGTGTCCTCCCAAACTGTGAGCCAAAAGATCCTTCCTCCCTTGAGTTGCAGTACTTTGGTATTTTGTCACACTGAAGAGAAATGTTAGAGGACAGAGAGATGGCTTAGAGGCTAAGGGACATGCATTGCTCTTGTACAGGACCTGAATTTGGCTTCTAGCACCACACCTGTTACACTAGCTCTAGAGAGAATCTGATGTCCCTGTCCTCTGCATGCATGTACACACACACACAAACACACACACACAAACACGAGAGAGAGAGAGAGAGAGAGAGAGAGAGAGAGAGAGAGAGAGAGAGAAACTGTTAAAAGAAAGAAACCAATAAAATGGCTAAAGGAGAAAAAGAAAAGAGGTAGGATCCATTAGCTCAGTGGTTAAGAGTACTGGCTGTTCTTCCAAAGGACTCAAGTTCAATTCCCAGCACCCACATGGCAGCTCACAACTGTCTGTAACTCCAGCTCCAGGGGGATCTGACACCCTCACACAGACTTACATTCAGGCAAAAGACATGCACATAAAACAAAAATAAATTAATTACATAAAAGAGAGAAGGAATTCTTGCCAAGGTGATGAGGAACTGATGGAACATTGGGCTATCACTAATCGTGGGGTCTAAAGGGGTATGCAGGAGGACACTTGTCCTCTGAAGCTGTCCAGCTTTTCAGAGCCTGTGTGCTTGTCCCTGGGCAGGATTCAGAGAGATGCTTGAGGAAGCTGACTGTTGCTACCCTGACAGAGGAGGCTATGTGGCAAGGAGACCCTGGAAGGGACAGCTGTGAGGTCTGTCCCTGCTGGTCCAGCCTCTGCAGAAACCTCTGCCTTGTCTCTGGGTGAATGGTATGTGAACACAGAGGAAGAACAAACTCTTTAGATGTCGCTATTGTCTCCCTTTTCCCAAAATGTGCATCTTGGGGAAATTCTAGCACAGCAGTGGGTACAAACACTCAAATATCTAAAATACACAGTATATCTGCTAGCTCAGGATGTATGCTCACCACCATGACATCATACAGTAGAGATGACCACAAGGGGGCTATTATTAATTCCAGAGCAGCTCCCCCTCCCCACTTCCTGTGAGGCCCCTAGCTCTGAGAAACCTCACCTCCCTTCCACACATGTGCAGGAGCATACACTCAGGGGAGCATTAGCTGTTCCAGGTCAGAGCACACTGGACCCACCGCTGGCTTAGGAAAGTCCATCTGTTTCCAGCTGTCGGTGGACACCACCCTCTCTCACCCAGCATATAGGGCTGCCTTAGACCTGCTCCAGTCTTCCCCAGACAGCCCCCCTTCTGTCTTACATCAGCTCCCAGGAATGTGCCGCCCACCATGACCCTCCACAGGCCTCCAGCTGCCAGAGCACCACCCCACCCCCATCTTAGTCACTCATGCATTGGCTGACTGGCCCCAGAGAATCAAGAGATGAGGTGAAGGGAAGGGAAGCATAGGCTGCCCACCCCCGGGTACTGAATGACTGAGGTTACAGACAGCCTTCTGCCAAGCTAGAAGCCAGCAGGGCTGTAGCAGTTAATGAGTTTGAGTTACTATCGAAACATAGAGAGTCCCAGTGGCTTCTCCTCAGCCAAGGGAAAGCTAGATTTTATGAGAGTCTGCCAGGGGCTCAATGTGTCTGTTCCAACTACACTTTCTAAACCTGGGGAAACTCACCCAAGGAAGGGGTTGGAGTCTATTGGGTCCATGTGAGATGAACTTTAGCTAAAACTCTCCTTGCCCAACCTATGTATTATGCTTACACAGTCTATCCATTTCCCTGGGCTGGAGCACTTGGTGCCTTTTGGGTAAGCTTTCCTAAGCGACGTTAGTTCCATCATCTAGTTTGTTTTCCACAGGAATGTGAGTTATCTAAAAGCAAGGTCTAGCAAGCAATGAAATGGTCCCTCACTAGGACTGTACTGACTTCACAAGGATAGGAAGCCCCGCCCCACTGGCCCTGTCCTCTTACTTGTAGGCTTTGGGGTTGAAGGTCTTCTCTGCAGGGAAGCCGAACATGCCACAGACCACGTGGGAATTCTTGGCTGTCCAGTGCTTGTTGCAGATCTGCTTCCAGGCCTTGCCCTCCTTCACCTCCACGTAGCCCTCTGTCACAGGCTTGCGATGGCGGAAGGCAGACAGGATAGGCCGAATCCGGATATCTTCCACCTGTATATTTAGGCTCTGTGAAGAAGGAGATGTAGAAGGTCAGGGGTTATGATGGATGTCTGGCCCTGGACAGGTGCCAGATAGCAGCAATTCCTTCCTCAGGGACCATAGGCTGATTTCTGCTGGCCCACCTCTCTCCAGGGTCTGCAGAAGGGCCCATGTTCTCCCAATGGGCACACAGCACCGTCACCAGTTGTTATACTTTGGGAGGTAGTGTGGTAGCAGGCACCACACTTGATGACTTGGAGTACCACCCCCCCCCCCAAGCTCCCCTTTTTCCTATAAGGAGATATGGGAAACCAGAGGCAGTAGATTCTTCCTGCATGGGCTTTAAACATAAAAGCACAAGAGAGAAAGTCTTCTTCACCTTTTCATAACCTCAGAATGAGGGTTTGGGGCTTGCAGGAAAAGAAGCAAAGCCACCCAGTATTGAGTGTGTCGTGTATAGGGAGCCTCAAACCTGGGGAGCTGTGAGCTAAATAGAGCTGGGGATGGTTATTTGGCTGTGGCAAGGCAAGATTCTGCATGTCTCAAGTCCCTTAGAAAGCTGCCTTCTAATCCTCCTGGGTCAGTGAGGGTCGCAGTTTGGGTTTGGGTTTCGAGAGACTCATTGGCAGGATGCTTCTGAAGGAAGTAGAAGACTAGAGAGGGGGTGCTCCCTGACACCCAGTTAGAACAGCCTTGCGTGAGAAGTGAGACCTTCAGAGGCCACAGAGAGAAAAATGACTGGGGGAGGGGTCCCCAGAGTTACCCTGACACGTTTCATGTTCTCCAAGGCATAGCCCATCAGTGCTCACATCCAGAACGTCTCACTTCGAGCTCTCCTCCTGCCCCTCTGGAGCCATTGCCGTACCCTGCGAGAGTCCCTAACGGAGTCCCTGCCTCCATTTATCTGCTACGGGACTGGCCAGAGAGTCCTGTCTAAAGCTCTTATCTCTGCTTGTTCCTCAGCCAGACCCATTTTTCTATAACACACAGCCATCTAAGTTAGAGATGTCCATAAGCTTTCCTGGCTGATTCCAGCTACGCCTCCCTCCCTGCTTGATGTCCCCAGCTCCAATTTACCCTCAGATACTAGTGACCACATGTTATCAACAGCTGCTAACATGCTTAGCATGTTTATGTCAAACACTTCCCATTTTCTAACCCTTAAGTAGAATAATGTGGCTTATTGCTAATGTTGACAGCTTACAGATGCAAAAGCTAGTAATTCTAATTTCTTCCTCAGACCACCCTGAGGTGCGCTGTGAGACACACCCTGATCAAGGCCAGGGAGGGAGAGCTGGGACTGGTAAGGGCCAAGCTGAAAGGAAGACTCCAGTGACCCAACTACCCTGTCCAGCCAGAATGCAAATGAATCGGAGATTGAACAGAGCCGTTATTTGGGTGCCCAGGGATTAATGTCTCCTGCCACAGGCTTCAGAGTCCAGATCCAGGCCTCACTCCACAGGTTCTGCACGACAGTGGAAAGTATGTGGCCAGGAGTTATGGCATTTGGCCCCAGCTCCCTCCACGCAAAGCGGAAGGAAAGCTGCTGGGGCAGGATTATGTTTTCCTGACTGGATCCTTTACCATTCTCATCAGCCCACAGGACTCGTGCAGCCTAGACACATGGGCAGTGACGAGCCAAGAAGTGGCCTGAGGTCTGATCCAAGCCCACAGGCTAGCTCCCTCCCTGCCTCTTCCCACAGCAGGAGGCCCCTGGCACCCAGTGTGGATGCCTCATGCCCAGAAGGAAAGTTATGGCTGTTCCGCTCATCCACGGCAAGCACAGCCGACATATTCCATTCACAGATCTTTTCTTGGCCGTCAGCAGTTGTAGAACCTTACAGATGGGAGATATGAGCCCTACCATGGTACTATAGAGAAAGAATGGCTGGCTGGGAAGCTCAGCAGCCACCCTGACAAGGGGTCTGCACAGGGCCTGAGGCCACAAACAATCACACTTGTTGGAACACTTATCTCTTTTCCTGCCTTGATGTAGGACAGGATACGACCCACTGGCTGACCTTAGGCTTCCTGGCAGGGATAGTGAGCCCCAGGGTTAGCCTTAGCTATCATTGTCTTCATTCCTCTCAATCCATACATGTGTGTCTGTGTGATACACACACGTGTGCATAATGGTACATGTGTATGTGTGTATGGTACATGTATCTTCCTGTGAGTCTATGTATCCACGAATTTAAATTTCTCTTTGTGTATCTGGGAGCTAGTACTATGTCTGTGAATTTGTGTACATATGTATATGGTACAAGGCTGTGTGTGTGTCGTGTGAGTCTTTATTCATTTATGTGTATGGTGGTATATGGCCTGTATGTGTCTTTGTATGTATACCTGAGGGACGGAGAAGAGAGAAATAGAGTCAATCCCTACAATACTTAAAGAAAGCAGTCAGAATGGACTTGGCACTCATTTTTCTGAGGTAGAACATCCATCTTTACCTGTAGATCAAGTCCTTCTTCTGGCAGGCACTGTGGTGGTTTGAATGGGAATGGCTCATGGTTGACTACTTGGTCCTCAGTTGGTGGAACCATATGGGAAGGATTAGGAGGTGTGGCCTCCTTGGAGGAGGTGTGTCACTGGGGTCAGGCTTTGAGGTTTCAAAAGACTCCTGCCTTTCTCACTGTGCCTCTCACTGATCTCCTGTTTTTTGATCAAAATGTGAGCTCTTAGCTTGTCCCGCTGCCATACCTTTGCTCTGTCATCATGGACAATAACTCTCTGAATCCATAAGCCTAATTAAACACTTTCTTTTGTAAGTAGCCTTGATGTGATGCTTTGTCAAAGCAATAGAAGTAATTAAGACCAGAACCATCCATGTCATCCACTTGTTCATGTATTCACTCAACAAAACACAGTCTGTTGTCCATGGGCCTTACCAGACTCCTCTGCACCCCTCTCCGTGCCCTGTTTCCTCTTTTTTTTTTTTTTTTTAAAAAAAAGATTAACCGATAGCTTTATATAGTTAGTAATGCTCAAATAACAAGATGCCCACACAATTAGAAGTGTTAACCAATGAACTAACCTAGATATAAGTTGTTACCCAGGACTGCTCTTGGTACCTGCGTGGGCATCCATCGCTCCTACATACCTGCCTCTCCCTGTTTCTTCTTTAGTGGCAAAGGCCACTGCAAATCAAGTGTCATTTGACTGCATGTGAGGCTCTGTGAACAGAACCTTACATCTCTTCCCCTCCTACAAAAACCTACAGGATAGCAAACGGCATGTCTCTAATTTGAGGTAAAAACATGAGAAAATTTGGTGAGGTTGGGCAACTTGTTCAACTTTATAGTCTTATTACTAAGCAGATAAAAATAAAAATGGAGCTGTCTCTATTCCAGCTTCTGGGGTTAGTGACCACTAGCCCCCGAGCACTATCTGTTCTCACACATCTTTCTTGCCCAATATTGTAGTGACTCTAATACTGGTTAGCCTCCAGCTCTGATTTCTGGGTGGTCCCCTCAGGGCTGCCTGGCACTGTGTATATTAGAAGTTCAAGACAGTCCCCAGAAGGACTGTGAGTCAGAGGATGGTGGACGTGAGGGATGAGCTGCTCTTGCCCTCAAGCCAAGGAAGTGGCAGGCAAGCTTTGGTGGCACGTACTCATGTGAGCTCTGCAGCTTCCCCAGGTCCTGGGAGACCTCAGGGTTAGAAGGCAGATGCCTGCACGCACCACCTCCCTCCTACTTCACTGCTGTGGAATCCCTTCATAACCACAAGGATTTTCTTTTTCCCAGAACTTCAGCTCCCAAAGATGTTTGTTTGAAATATCAAAATGAGTAGTTTTTTTCTTTCCTGTAGATATGTTAAAGTTTTATACAGTTATTTGTCTGTTTATGTATGTGTTGAGAACATATATGTGGGTGTGCATGCTACAGCACGTGTGTAGAGGATAGAGGACAGCCTACGGATTGAATTCAGGCCATCAGGCTTTGAGGAAAGCACCTTTACCACTGAGCCATCTTGATCCAATTTGTAGATTAAAGACCTAGAATATCTTGAATTCTGACTAATATTTACCTGAATGCTAGTCCTCTTGTCCAAAACAAAGTGTCCAGAGCTCCAAAAAGCTTTCCTTCCAGGTCCTTGCAGAACCCCCTTCTCTTCTCCCCCACAGAACTAATTTCCTACTTCTCAGGGAGGCCCTGGGAGTGATTAACACACATTCTCATCAGAGGAAACCAAGGTACAGTGAGGTCAGGGGCCCGCCATGTTGTAGCTGCTGGGCTGGTGGGAAGAGAGAAGAATGGATGACCAGGAAACGGACATCCAGGCTTATGCCTTGAACCATTTAACAGGCACAGCATCTATTGGTGACTTGTAAATCATGGAATGTGGCAGTCTGGGACCTCTGCCCATGAGGAGTCACCCATTTTGAAAGGCTAGCTGCCTCAGGGTATGATGCAAGGAGAGGCAAAGCAAGAAGCACACAGCTTGCAGCCAACTCCTTTCTAGAGGGACTAGAAAATCTGTAGTGAGCAAATGGCCTCTCTGCAGAATGAGGCGGATCTTAGCTTAGGGCCTTGTCTCTTTCTTCTGTTTTAGAAGCTATAATTTAACCTCTTAGTGGAATTCACTCCAGGGCTACAGACGGAGTAGAGGAAATGTCATTATACCAACAACCTCCTGGGATGTACCACTGTTTGGAAAAGCTTGCTCACTTGGTCTCTCCTCCATTGCTAACACGTTTTGCCATCTTGCTTGAAAGGCCTGCAGCACGCCTTATTTGACTATTCTTTTTGAAGTAGGCAGTCACATTCAGACCCATGTTCCTCCCCCTCACCCCTTTCTCAACATCTCATACCAACCAACCCAAATGCCCACAATTCTTCCTTATACAGACAGGGCTATCAAGTGAGTCCCGCCTGCCCAACTTTGCAGACTACACCTCCTGTATCCTCTCTTCTGCTCTCCTCTTAACTCCTATGGCCTGTTTGTCTCCAACAACATCTCATCTTCTCAATTTCCCATCTACACTTCTGTGGTCCAAACAGGTATGTAGGATGTGACGGTTT